GGAGCTTTATTATGATAAGCTTCTTATATGATAGTTGTTGACTTTTTATTGTCATGGTCACGAAGTCAGTGGTGGAAATTCGACATTCTTATGGCCAAGGCCAGACTGCCCAGAGAGGCCACGGACTCACCAGATGGAACTCGCTCTCTAAATACAATGGAGATGATTGCGGCGATGGCGATGATGATGATGATGGAGGAGTAATGATGGAATGGAATGATTTATGGAATGGTAATGGATATCCATTGTAATTTATATGCATACATTACCCCCCCCCCCCAGCCTTCGTATCTGATTGGCTCACAAGTGATGACATCACATGTATCCCTCTAAGACAGAAACAGGATGTATCCACAACTCTGGCTGTCGCCTGATAATGTGAGTTGTAATTACTAGCGCGAAACGTCGTACTCAAATTGTAAATGTTGTGTTGTGAGTTTCACTCTCCAACACACCGGTGGGCTGAAGTAGAAACGAATTGGCACGTTTTGTTTACCTGACAAACCTTACTAATTGGCTGTGCCGGGTCGGCGAAGGGTTTAACGACACATTTCGATTCACACGATCTAACCCAAAAACATCTATTTTGGAATGATGTATATTGATTATGTTAGCGTGCAATATATTGAATGTGTATATTTTGGATGTGATGCATCGATGTGATCCATCCAGCTACTTGAGTCTGCCCGCCACTAAATTCACCACAGATAGAAAAATCATTAACGCTTGAATTGAATCGCTCCTCTGAATCGCGACAATTCGTTTCATTTCTGGGCCATGGCGGGGTGGAGGGGGCGGAATGAACCATTACATCCACCACGTTTAATATTCCAGGGAGAAGTGGTAACTCTGTTGTAAAAAAACTAAAAATGCAATTATAAGTGTGACTACATCCACTCAATTTCAAACCGACGAAGCACTATTTTAACCCAACCAGTAATATGTACTGCATATTTTCAATTTAACATCATCCATTGTAATTGATATGATTGCATTCACCCCCCGCTGATCTTCGCACCTGATAGGTACACAGCGAGTACATTGTCTGACTCTATTTAAGACCGGAAATTAGGAAGACTTCTTCACAATTTTGGAAAATCGTCGGATGAAGCTGGTTGTAATCATCAGCGAAGCGTCGTACTCAAATTGTAAATGTTGTGGGTTTACTCTGCAACACGCCGATGTCCTGAAGTAGTAACTAATTGGCCTGTATTGTTCACGTGACAAACCTTTCTAATAGGTGGGTTAACGACACATTTATATTGATGCGATCTCACCCAAACACCTTTATTCTGACTATTTCAAGGCTTTTGCACTGCCAATGGGACTGACTAGAGTTGTACCTTCCCACATCAAAACCAAGCAAGAGTTGCCCATTGAAATCGGAGTCTCCTAAAGGACTATCGGAATGGTCTCTTGCTGCGAATGTTTGAAACAGCGAACATATCAACATTGAGTTCAGTCATTAAATGTTTCAAGCCACCCACCGGTGGTGGAGCTTTCTACTGTTCAATTCGATCGACGTATTGTCACGTAGGAATAACAAACGTGACAATGTTTGTCGGGTGGTGGAGGGATACGAGACGAGAATTTTGGCAAAGAAACCGCCATGTGGCCGAATCAAAATATAACTATGGATCGTTGCAATGGCCACGAAAATCTACGGGCAAATAAAAAAAACCCTACACGGAGTGTCCCTCCCTGTTTGCACGGCGGCTGTCGAGGGCTCCGCTCGAGCGATTGATTGCCTGAAGATGGTAGCAATGAAGCACGATCCTCTGCGTCAAGTGTGCTAAGCTCTGTGCCAATACGCAGGGGCTTCCCCATTCATCAATCACCAGATTGTGCATCTTGAGTGTGATGGATAGACGCAGAGGACTGACTCATGACCACGTGCATGGCTCGTTTAAATCATTCCGTTTTCATTCAAAGTAAATTTGAACCGGATGCAGCATCTCTAGTCAACACAAGTCGACGAGTCTCCGTCATTGTATACGTGCTCGTCTGTAAATGTTCCCACATTCAATATGTGTACACGGCAATACGTAGGAGCATCCCTGTTTGTTTCATCATGGTGGCGATGTAATGGCAGAAAACTAAATAAGCAAGCGATGCATCTCCTGTCTCTGTGCCTCCACATGAAATAAATAAAAAAAGAAATGTCCCATTGGCCACAGGACCTTCTGGGGAATTAATAAATTCTAGCATTAATTCAACAAAAGCAAAACTCTCGAGCGGTGTTCACATAGAGTGTCTTACCAGCAGAGTCAGGTTTGTTTGAACCAATGCTGCCGATTGATTCTCTATTTAAGACATGGGTCCGAATTTGAAGCAAAATCATATTAATGCAGAACACTAAATAATCCTGAGCATCGTTGCGGAGAATATAAATAAGAAAATAGACGAGCAATAACGTGTCTAACACCACTCCTTCACCTACCCGTCCCTCTGCATAATAAATAAAAGTATGATGGGTTTTTTTTTTCTGTTTGCACAACAGCGAGGTCGGTGCTTGTTGGGGATGGGTGCCAGAGCGGATGGTGGACTGGGCTGGCCTCTTTTTCGCCGTCGTCTCAGAATCAGATTGTCTTTATACTGGACGGAATTCGATGAGCTGTAAAGCTATTTTTTCTTCACACGTGTCCAGTAGGGGCAAGTCAAAACGTGACAACAACAATACGACAAATACGATTGGAGTTCAAAGTATAGGAAAGGTAAACAAATCAATTTAAAGCTTTCGTGACTGCAGGGATTCATCTTCTTGGTTCTTTCGGTAAAGTCACGTAGAAGGGAAATAATAAAATAACGTCGTGAGAATGATTTTATTATGTTTTATTTTCATTATTTATTATTTCCCTTCTACGTGACTTTACCGAAAGAACCAAGAAGAGGTAAACAAATCACTTAAAATATATCTCCCCAAATAAAACGAAACATTTTTTTTGTATCATACCAGATAAAGCCCACAGAGGTATTTAGCTCTAGATTTGAAGCTTTCGTGACTGCAATTATTCATATTCTTAGGGTTTTTCGGTAAAGTCACGTAGGTAAAAACATTAAAAAGTAAAATAAAATAAAAATCACGACGTTTCGGAGGCAACTCAAGCTTCCGTCTTCAGGTGGTACCGTCACAGCCACGACAGCTGTATCAAGTAAATGAGAGATTGTAGGAGCTACCACTCCGTTTATATAATGGTTGGAGAAGGTGGTGGGGCAAGGGCCGCATACTTTTTATTAATATGGTAAGGTGAGGCTTAAGACTAAGACTAGACTGCATAACAAAGAAACGGCCCCGGCCACAGCAAATGAGAGCTCGACGAACTTGTGAGACTCTGCCGACCCTCGGGTTTGTTGGGGTGCTGTGGGGCACGGTGCGCTCTGCTCGTGTCCTCGTTTGGCCCCCGTGGCCGCGACGTCCTCTTGTTGCTCGTCGTTTCCTTTCATCCTTTTTTTGTGCCCTCGACATTTCCCCCGTTTCTTTAACCTCGGCGATGTTTGCATTTTTGTCGTGCTTGTGTTTTGCAAGGCCCTTTGAAATGACCGTGACATTTGAGTGCCTCCATAAATGCAAATACTTATGCTGATGATGAACAACACCATTCTTCAAACAGAAAAATTCTGCCCATTATACTAATTGTTAAGTGCACTCACTGCACGGATGCTACGTGTGGATGTTTGAATGCATTTAGAATTGTATGCATATGCATACGGATTATGATGCTGACAAATGGCGATGATTATGACAATTATTATCGGGACTCTTCTTAGTGTGTACCAAGTAAACACAAATTATTTTTACTATGATGAATTTCATTATGGAAAAGATATATTGTCTGAACCATTATAATACTCGCCGTTCAGTGCACACACACCACTCACATCACCCACGCTATACATTCGGGGCTAAGCTAATAACGCCGAACAGGACACGTTTAAACAATGCGCGTTTTTATTTCAATTTGAAAAGTAGGCAGCCAATTACCTTGCCTTGGATTCAACCCAAAAATGTCAGCCCAGCTCCAAGCGAGTATTCTCCATAGGGAGCTGGTTCATTATCGGCTAGAGTTAAGTGAAATGACCGTTCCGTTTACCAACAGCAATGTTGTGTTCGGGGTTAGGACTACCACTAGGTTTAGGGTTGTGCACCGGGCTGTGGTGAAGGGTCGTGTTCTCGTGTTAAGGTTCCAATCACTGCATGTAACCCTGATACAGGCGGCAATAATCTGTGTGCAGTTCAGCAGCATTGGATCAAGCAAGCTTGACTGCTGACGAGACACTGCATATTTAAACCGGTCCAGGGCTTTGTTTATGCGGACTTAATGCAGTGGGAATTCTGAGCTCCCAGAAGGCCATCATGAGGATCTGGGCAATGGCTCAGGTTTCAGGAACAAGGAGTTCAAATCCTGGCTGGGAGTGACTAAACCCATCATCGCTCTGGACTTGGTAAAATAAGCACCACTACGTGAGAAATCGGCATCGGTCTTTACTTGGATACACCAACTCCTAATAATTTGACGATTGGCTTGGGACCGGCAACAGACGTAGGCAATGCCCAATGTTCACTCGTGTGTATAACGATGCTTTGACGTTGCGGTGTGAGTTCACCACAGTTGGCCATCTGCATCGACTAACAATTTGAATGAATAGCTTGCGGTGTAGCCATTTACATTGCCTGGGTGGGGACAGGGGTGGAAGGGTCGAGGGGAGGTGCATTGACAAACTTTGTAATAACTTAAGAAAAGCAAATCCCGAACAACGGAGTGCAAACAGCAGAGCCGACGGTGTGCACGCGAACACCCCGGGGCCGTCAGCTCGCACGCCGCGGTGTAGCGTGCAGGCGAGACCTTTCCCTCTTTCGATTGCACATGACCCCGATCCCGTGTGTGTACACAATACCCTGTAGACACGCCACAAGCAGGTAGCCCGCCTCCCTCACCTCCCCTCCCTCCTCCCCCCTCTCTTTCTCGTCTAACTCCAACCCGTCCCCTCCCCCATGCCAGCGGCCGACAAATGGAGGCTCAATCACGCCGCCAAGCCCTGTCTGCCTGGGACCAGGAGCCTTTGAGTATTCGGTTTCGAAGCAGTGAACCTTGATGTGGTAGGGAGGTGAGTGCGCCCGCCTCAGATGCAGGCCTGTTGCTGGCATGCAGCGGACTAAAGCCCATTATGATGCAGCTCTGTGGTTGTCTGTGCGTAGCGGGGAGCGGTAGTGTCGGGGTTGGCGTGCTGCTCGACAATCCCCCCCCCTATCCTGAGGATTGATTCCCCAATCGTGCACAACACCAGTGACGATTACCTGAACAAGTCCTGGGCCCACCCTGAGGTCGACTGAGCCTCTAATGAGTACCTGGTGCAATGTGCAAAATATCGCCGCGAGGGAGGCAAAGGTGGCCAAGCCTGTCTATGAGATGTATTATTGGGGGTTATTTTGAGTATGGGTCACCTGATAACCAATGCAATCCGGTATCATTTTCCAGAAGTGGACTCCAATTTTGTTAAGTGGCTTGGAATAAAGAGTTTTAGTCAAGCAAGTAGTCGCCTAGTGTGGAGGAACAATAGTCGGCTTTTCATCAAGCAAGTGACCCAGTTTTCATATCCAAGGAATTGTGTTGCGTAATCTACTGTTACAATTGGCTTCTCTTTAATGTGCAATGTTGCCTAATATTTAATTTCCCCCACAGAAGCCTGCCTATGTGTAGAACTACACAGCCCCTTGCCTAGCATAGGCACCCAAGAAAAATGCAATCATGCTCACAGATGTATTATCAGTGTCCCTTCATATCCCCTCTGTGTAAAATAGCCAACGCAAACATGCAGAGTGCAATTACAAAAAAATCCTCAAGCACACGTCACACTTCCATCCCTCACAACCACCGGCCTTCACACAAAACACTCGATTAAATTATTATGCAACATTAAATGTGCAGATTGCTAATTATTTTTCTCTTTCTCTCTAATTATGCCACAGCGAGTTGCCAACATTCCTACCGTAATCACAACATGGAGAAAATGCCTTCAGACATGTTGGCTCGCGATCAACAATCTTTTACACTAATAACGCATGTGACCCAACCAAACACAAGCTTTTTTTTTTCAGCCAACCTTTCGTAAAAATTATCCCCATAGCTGATCCTGAGCACATTTGCGAAAATGGCCATTTGTCCCTTGAAGAAAAAACCCCCCATAAACCTGCCTCTCTCTAAGATCCGGGGGTAACCTGTGTAATTTTCACCCAGAGTTATGTCTCCGACAACAAAGACAGCACACGCGTGCCTTTGTGCGGTGACATCCTCCGTGCAGTAAAAGAGGCAAAAGCCACACACTGCAGGCTATTAATCTGAACCGCCGCTAATCCAGGGCAATTTCCACCAAAACCATCTCGAACGGCGGCGGCGAAGGCTTTCGCTGCAGCTGCTGCCCCGAGTTGACCCAAGGGATGGGGGGTGGTGACACTTAGAAAAGGGGATGGGCAGGACAGGACTGATGGCTTTTCCAACAAACCTGATGCCCTTTCGAGGGCTTGGAAAGGAGGGGGGGGGGAGAGACGCGGTAAGGCAGGAGATAAGAGGGAATTTAGGAGGGGAACGGTAGGGGGTGAGTAAGGGGGGGGGGCGGAGGTTGAAGGCAGGGTTAAAGCAAGCTTGGGGAAGGACAGCGATCTGTGGCGTAGCTTAAGGCTGTGAGATCAAGAAGGAACAAGTCGTGGAAGAGACCACAGCTATTATGGTACGAATCGTGAAGTAAAATGTCCTTCGGGCTACGAATGAGAGCAATGAAGTTGATCTCACGAGCTTCTGTTGTTCTCAAAGATTCGTGATGAGATATTTCCTGGGAAAATCTGTGGGTTCTTTTAGTGACCGTGGACTTAAATACATATATATATAAATCCTCTGCCCTCCATGCAGACTTTTGAAAGTGTGCAAAATAAGTGACGTTAATGTTAACGTTTGAATTACGGCACGTGATTGCATTCCAATTAGGAATAATGTAGGGGAAAAAAAACTACCACTCAGAAGAGATGCACACTCATACCTAAGAAACAGAGTGAAGCAGTTGCATTTGCATAAGTTTTCCTTTCACTGCAGAGTGCAAAGTGTTCCATATTCCCTTCGTAAAACAGACATTTTGGTTTTTTCTTAGTCGTTCAACCCCACACAATTTCGTCTGTCCTCACAATACCATTACTTAGGAAAATCAGCACATTCAATATTCACTTTCGATTCGCCTACAGTTTTGGTTGCTGTGAATCACTAACGGTGTGCAATTTCATCATAACAGCAGGTCCAAACTGCCCGAGCATTTTTAACGATTTTGATTGTGTAAACCGACACGACCTTAAGAAAGCCATATGGGGATCAGTTCTCCTCCGCGGCCGGGTATGGCCACGTGCTTACGCGATGCGATCTTTCCGAGCGAAACGAGAATGTGGTTGCACATTCACATCTGATGTCACGGCGTTGGCCTCCGGTTGCCAAACGAATACATTATGAGAGCGCACTAATCACACACAAAGTGCTTGCCACAAATGAACCACAATACCTCGTTGATCTCGTCAAGGAGCATAAACCATGGCCCAAACGCCGGTCATCCTCGCAGCGGCTTTTGGCTCTCCATCAAACAAAGATGATCACCGCATTGCGCGCTTTCAGATGCGCTTCTGAGGCCATCTGGACTGCTCTACCTACCGATATTAGGAAGCCACTGGAGCCACGCACTTTCATATCTAGATTGAAAACGAATTTCTTTAGAACTGCTTTTTGTGATTAGTTCGTTGTCCTTCCCCGATTAGCACGGTTGACCACGTACGGTGCGCGAAAGAAGTTGAACATACGTGCTGAGATAATGCATCGCACACGTGCCTCGGCAACTCTTCCCTGTTGGCGGCGGAAAGTGACTGGCGGATAATTCCACATTCCCACACTGGAGGGTGCACGTAAGGAGTCATTTCTGAAGGAAATGCACCGAATGTGTTGCCCCAAAAGCCCTCGTGTTGTTTTTACCCGCATTGTATGTTGTTCGGCAATATATTTACGCACTGTGATGCCAATGCGGACTCGCACACAAAGACAAAGATCCCCTCTGTATAGCCTCAACAGACTGTAGGGGCAAGTGCTGTTAGCGAGCACCTTTAAAGGCCGGAACAGTACACGATGGGGTAGGTGGCCAGCACCACGCCCGACCGCCTTTGTCTCCCCAGTAGTGATGTTTACACACTGCACCAGGCACTCATTTGAGGCCGATTCGACCTAGAGGAGGCTCAGGACCGGTTCAGATAATCGTCACTGGGTGTTGGCCGTGAGCGGGAATCGAACCCAGGTCGCCGGGTCCATAGCGCAGCGCGCTAACCGCTACACTACCGCTCCCCACACGCAAGCATACACCAACACACAATACACACACAGACATTCACATGCACAGGCAAGTCCAGTCGCACAATGCGGACAGAGATTCCCTTGTGTTGGTTTTGCTCAGTTGATAGGCATTTCAAATTGGGAAGCAGATAAGAGAGAGAGAGAGAGAAAAAAAACTAACTCCGTGAAAAGACAGAGCAGGTGGCATCCCCCTTTTCCAGGGCCTCAATCAAAGCAGGGTAATCAATGAATGAAAGAAGAAGCCGGTTCCTATCAGTTGAGCTGAGCAAGCCTAAGCTCTAACCCCTGTGCAAACGGAATGACATTGTAACGAGGAGCAGCATTATGCGCGAGCCCACTGCCCCACCGCATCGCTAATTTCAAACGGGCCCGATTCAGGGTTAATCCGCGTAGACCAACACACCCAAACACTTCTGAATCTCCGAGCCCACACTCGGCGCTCCTTCGACGCAACTCAACTCGACAACGACAATCGCCTCGACTGGCCCCCACATTCTGAAAAGTCACCTGAAAGTGTGTGGGCTCGTCATTTAGACCCGTTCTCTTCTCTCCCCCTCTCTGTCCCCTCTGTTTGTCATTTACGTTCCTCGCTGCGTTGTGGCCGCCACCCGCCACACGCACGTGGCAGGCTATAACGAACGCTCCGCGTTGCGTGTGCCACGGGGTCACAGGCTTCTCATTGTAAGAGCAGCTTTTCTGAGGTCCCAGTTGCACGTTCCAAAATGCACGCTTGAATGCCGCCTGTCAAAAGCAAATGTTATTGTTCAACAACTCACTCTCACACTTCAACCTATTGCTGCTGCTGTTATTATTATTCCGATGATTCCTCCCCTTTAAACCTTACCGAGTCTCATTACCCTTTTTTCAGGAGGGTCATGCTAAGTTTTCGCAGCAGCGACTTTGATGTATAATCACCAATTGAGTAATTTGCTAGTTTGTTTTTATTTTATTGGAAAATATGTACGAGGACTCATGCACACAATGGCCTTCTCTGCTGAATGATGCCACGGGATCATTGATGTCCAGTGTGAAGCAGACGATGTGTAGTTTTCGGGTTAATAACACCAGCAGTATTAATCATGGTGGCCGCTGGATTCGAACCACGAAGCTCTGAAACAGGCGACGACCATACTACCGCTGGGCCACTTCACTGCCTCAAGTCACCGAAAATAATATCATCATCATCATCATCATCTCTGTGCAGATGTTTGAGTGTTTTCTACTAATGTGCATTTAATGAGAATCAGAAGCTGTACTCTACTGGGAAGAATCCGATGAGCTCTGAAGCTGTTTTTTTTACAGATGTCCAGGGTCTCTGGATTTCCCACACTCAACATTTATAGATATGAGCCAACCATTGTAACACAGGACCCTTCTAAAAGGGTTCCGATGCTTAATTTAGGATTTTGTTGGTAAATAAAGCAACCCAATATCATTGTCAGTTATTTGCCTTTTCATTATTTTTTTGAAATGGCACCATTATGTAATCGCAAACTGATTAACACACCAGGGGAGTGACTCACCATTTCTAACACGGTCATGACGATGCTGCCTGCTGATGATGATTCGTTTAACACACCAGTAGGGCATTTCTACATGTCTAACACACTAATCAACCCATTTGTTGTTTCAGTCAACAGTGCCATTTGCCACACGCTGTGGTGATGATGATGATCTTGATGACGTCCTCAAAAGGGAAGTGGG